ACCGGACTTGATGCACGAGTTCGAGCTCGGGGTATCGGAAAGGGACCTTCGCACATCTCATTCGACTGCTGCACGCCCAAGGTCCCGCTGCCGTGCAAGAGTTTGACCGCAGGTACGTCTGCCATTTGTACATGTACCGTTCATATCTAACAATGACCTTTAGGATGCGTCTTATGCCAACATTCGGACGGGACACGATACGGCGGTTCAGGAAGAACGTATCTTGCCAAAACCGCGTGGCCGCGCGCGACTTTGAAGACTACCTCATCGTGAGTACACCGCTGTCATCTGCCGACGCTCGCGACCTAATCGTCGCTCAGGTCTCCATACCTGCTTTCGAAGGACTGCTGCCTCTCCGCGACAACCGAACAGTCTTACAGCTGTTGTTCGAACTAGTGAACTGGCTCTCCCAGCCCCTGTTGTAGTTTTAATGTATTATAAACCGTTTATATGCCTGCGGCGCATTACATTATAAACCGTTCCGGTTCGTAATGTATCACGAACACCCCGGGGGCCCGAGGCATCTGCCCGGCACCTGCCAAATATGGCAGGCAGCCCCGGAAGCGCTGTTATCAGTGCCCGGCACTCTCCAGTGGCTTATCTCTTATAGATAAGGCCTCTATCTCATCAATCCGAGCTCCCCGGACATCCGGATAGCCCCTCCCACCGGCGCTTTGGCTCCCGCCCTGCCACATCCCAATTAGGAAGGTGTACTCAACACCTGCACCCAGGGCAAACTGCCTGGTTCATAGCTCACTCATTAATTTGCGCATCGGCGTCGCACTGGGCGCGTTTTGTGCGTATTTACAAGGGCTACAAATCGACGCCAAAAAGTCAAGATTCCGGTATGTATTGGCGGCGCTATATCGCGTTTGAACGGGCGCTTTACAGGAATACTGCGCGGACCATAGCGCGCCCAGTTCCCCACGCGCAGACGCGCACCCGGTATCCCCACAATGCCCTGAGCAGTGGCTTTCGAACGCGCCCCTTGCGGCCAGGATCCGCCCATGGGATCAAGCTCGGCGGCCTGTCCACCTCTGGCAAGGGGGTGGGCAGGCCTGACTGGGCCATATCTCGCCCAAACCATGGCGGATCTTTATGTTCTTGGGCTTGAAACGAAGCTTAAATATGGCGCCTTACATTCAATCAATAACTCCGGCATTCTGTATGGTTAAATGCTGCTAGGACTGCTGATCAGGTGCTGGTGGGAGAGGTGCCTCTCGCGTTCTCGTCTGAACGCATATCACCCTCAAATTCTGTGTGTAGCTGCGTGATACATCTGAGAAGCCGTGTACAACTTTTCAGAACAATCGGATGTGTCTGTATTCCGGCAGAGCGTTATCAGTTCTGTATTATATACCTTTATATCTGGCCTCTCACAATAGCTATATCTGATCTGGTTCCACAATTATATAGAGCATGTAAACCACATTATAACACAAAAACAAGCTCAGAGAACGGTGGAAAACTCGTCAAGCTAACGATTTTACAGTGCTACAGCCTTGCCCTGCTGTAGCACTGCTTACATTGCACTCGGACTCCGGCACTGTCACAGCACTGCCGCCCACACCGTCTTAAGACGGTCGGCGGCTATCCCCTGTGCCAACAGATCTTAGTATATCTCCGTCAATATTGACGCGTTTCTCCCGATTTTTTGTGCGCGGATTCCCGACGGGTGGGGAGTTCAGGATCGGCCTTTTTCAGTTTAATTGGCGGTCTATTGAGCGCGACGCAAGGTACATAAAGTGAAACACTGATAAGAGCGTACAACCATAGACACTCCACGCGGCACGCTGTAAATCGACAGACCTATACATACACGGTTTCTCTACAAGATAAAAAAAGAAGCATACAAATCCGCGGTTATTTGGGGGAGCTACGCGCATAATAGTGCAGAAGGTGCGAAAAACCAAGAATCAACTGAGCTGATATGATGTACAAAGGCAAGTCACTCACAAAGGCTGTTGATATCACTAAAATGATTACAAGAATATTTTGAGATAGTGTCCTGAGCAAGGAAACCATTCATGGTGCTATAAAATAAGGGGGACTGTTGGCAGGGGTGAGGAGAGAGGCATCCTTGTAAAGGTGCACAGAGCGGTGATTATGTATTGTATTGTACATCATTAGAGCAATATTGAGTATGGCTTTTCAGTGGTATAGCACACATGGTGTATCGAGGCTGTGAACCCAGGAAACCTATCATGAAGCCTTCTGGAAGTGCAGCCTCTTTCCTGGCCTCCCAGGCGACTCAGAATCACGCGCGCAGCTTCCTTTCAACTCTGTAAATATTTCTCACGGTGCAGGCTTTCAAATAAGCCCATATACGTATAAATAGGCGGTGATATGGCCTAGATATGGCCTGGGCACTCGAAAACTGCCCCTGCCCAGGTGGACCGCGTACAAATCGAGAACGCGTGGGCGGTTTCTTTCCGCGAGGGAAGCGTTCGAAAGCCACGTTTCTGGGCTTTCTGGGGATAGCGGTTGCGTGGCTGCGCGTAAGGAACCGGGGGCGCTATAGCCCGCGTAGTATGTCTATACAGTGCCCATTAGTACACATTGTAGCGCCCTCATTAACTATCCGATTCTTGGCGCGTTTGCATCGTCTTGTAGCGCTAATAAATGCGAGCAAAACGCGCCCGGAACGAGCCTAATGCGCCCAGTATTAAGCAAGGAATGTGCCAGGCAATGTGCCCTAGGGGGAGGTGTTTAGTACACCTTCCTAATTGGGATGTGGCGGGGCGGGAGCCAAAGCGCCGGTGGGCGGGGCCATCAGGATGTCCGGGAAGGTCGGATTGATGAGATAAAGCTGTTATCTAGCAGAGATAAGCCAGGGCACAGTGCCGGGCATTGATAACAGCGCTTCCGGGGCTGCCTGCCATATTTGGTAGGTGCCGGGCAGATGCCTCGGGCCCCCGGGGTGTTCGTAATACATTACGAACCGGAACGGTTTATAATGTAATGCGGCGCGGGCTTATGAACG